ATGCTGTGGGCCTGTTCCTGTTAAAGGACAAGGCAATAAATCAGAACTTGATTCTAAATAGAGGAGAGTTTGATTCTAAATAGAGGAGAGTTTGAGTGTGAGCCGATTTAGGCAAATAAACTAAATAGGCATTAGATGGGATAATTGCACCATTTATGTTGCACAAAGACCAGAAGTGATTTGAGATAAAAGACTTTTTTGCATTTTTACCCATCTTTCCTAGCGGTTTCATTAAGTATGGCCAACTCTGTATAACTAAGGCACATATGTAGCCAGCTGGAATTAGAGAGACCAATGTTCTCTTACTGAGCCAGTAAGGAGATGAAGAAGTATTCTATTACTATATGATTTCTGAAAATCAAATGCCTTTTAGAGAGCCTTTTAATGTTTATATCTTGGTGAAAACTGCTGGATCCATGTAATCATAATCAGACCTTTGTCTGAGCACCAAAACCACATTATGCTGTTCTGGTATTTAGCATGATATAAAACTGATCCGTTTGCTTTTGAAGCAGTTGTTTGTATGCTTCAAGCCTGAATGCAACCTTGTTACAGTTTTTTGTTCTGGTTTAGCTGTAATAAACCGGCTGTTCGAAAGCTGGACCTCTTGTATGATTTAAGCAAGGGGGAAACAAATCTTTTTGACAGTGAATTGATTAGTGAAACTTAGTCTATTAAAATACCTCTACATTTCTTGTCAATTTCAAGAAATTTTAAGCAGAATTGTTAAATTTTTACAACTTCTGGCTGTAGTTTCTAAAAACTACAGGTAATCTGACCAAAAAGGAGCAAGATGCCAATAGAGGAGTTATGTTGATTTTAAGGAAGTACTGTTCAACTGTCCTTTGATTTCTACTGTCCTCAGTCTGAAAGGTCAACTGTTTAGCGTGACAGAGGATATTGCTTGGTGTCAGGAGGAGCCAGACGATAACTCAGGAAGACTGAAAAGACGTAATAAGAAGCATATGGAGTATGCTCAGGAAAAAGTCTGAACTATTGGCAGCTCATAGATGCATGTCAAATATGGCTAAACGTACTCCAAGTGCTTCCAGTAGTTTTACTGTCTGAATGGCTACTTTGGCTGTGTGCCTTGATGGAAGTAGTGTCGTTATATCAGACACACAACATTGCAATGTTCAAAGCAGAATTTGATATTATTCCCCAAATTTGATATTATTTTTAATGTTCTTTTAAGAGATTATTTATCAAAGTGTAAACAAAAAAAGTTTTCAGTATGTTTCAACTGAGATAATCAAATTTCTATATATTATTTGTTTACTTTATTGAGCAGAAAACACAGCAAATTTACATTTTATGACAATATGTAAATGTGAATAAGCAGCCAGTATGGGACTGATTGGAGACTTTTCTCAATCAGTCCCATTTCACCAAGCAAAGTTTTCACCTCCTGCTTGGTGAAAACTTTGTTGTTTTAATCCTGAACAGCAAAGTCCAAACCAAAGATGGACTTTGGTTTGGTCCATCTTTCTTTCTTTTCTTTCCTTCCCCATCTTCAGTGTGAAAGTTAATGCTTCCAAATAACCCATTCCCGTTACTTAGAGCCACACGGCAGAACAATTTACACAGTAGGGAATCCAATTTCCCATAACCTAATTTATTCTTCAATAATGTCCCCACAAAAGATTTTTAAAGAATAAATGCTGGTTATACTTAAATTGATTTATTTTAAATGTATTATTTGGAATAACTGTTAGAAACATACACAACCATTCCCCTCTCACTCTGTAAACGGCTATACATATTCTTATCCATATTGCAGAATCCTTTTGAATATTTTTTCTACTGAGGCAGAATCAGATATTTACTAGAGAGCATTTGGAGAAACTTCCTCCTGCTTGGTGAAAACTGCTGGATCCATGTAATCACTCCAATGTGAAAATATATAGCTATATGGAAAGCAGTTTTGACATAGGAAACAGCTGCAAAGGCTTAATTTAAAATATTTTATTTTAAAGGTACTACAAGAATTAAATAAATAAATGCGATTTTGCTGCCTTTTTCTCAGAAATACAAAGTAGAATTTTGGTTTACTTGTCTTAAGTAAGCCTAAATTTGATCACTAACAAGCATAAGTATACAACCATCCCAGAAAAATATAAGATTATTGTTATTTTTTTTTATTCATTAGCCTTTCAATAATCTCAATTTAATTTAAGATATAAAGATAATCCAATGGGTTAAACCAATTTTTCTTCATAGATTTTTTTTTGTCAAGGAATTATGAGCCACAAACCAAACCCTGAGTGAAAAGTAAAGCATAAGGTTTTACTTCTCTGTAGTCCAGAATCATACATGATATTTGTGAATAAAACATCAATCAGCAGGTCTTCCATCAGACCGTACTGCCCATGATTCTTAACAGAGCATGAGGAGGATGACAGAGGAGATGAAGACCAGGTGCGTGTTTGTAGCAGCAGATGCACAGATGGCCATCTTTTAATCCTGAACAGCATAGGAAAAAAAAAAAAGACCATCATCAACACACTCATACATTTTTGTAGTTCTGTTTTTTTGTGTGAACTTCTAACAGCTGCTATGAATTAACTTGGCATGCAGTGTCTTCAAAAACTATAGACTCCAATTTTGTTTAATGTCTCTCCACTTCTAATGTTCCAACATATTGCAGATGTAGAAGTCAACAGGCATCTCGGCTGTGATAGCAGTCACTGTACACTTGTTGGAAATATTTGCAAAATGCCTTAAATAAATGTATCATATATTTCTGTAGCATTTGCTGCCACTCTCCCGCAAATCTTCATTACCTCTCCTACTATCCACCTTACTGTGTGTGTTGATGAGATAAACTTGGATTCTTGTCCAGCCTTGTTAGATTAGATGAAAAGTCTCTTTTGTGATGTCATTTCCTGACACACATCTGTTTTTCTAAACCCTCTTATTTTTTATTTTTTTCCATTTTGAAGAATAGTTGGCAGACAGGCCTCTAAAGTTGCTTCAGATAAATATATTCAGGTTATGGCTTATTTTATTTAGCACCAATTATTTCATAAAAAAATAAAAAATAAAGAAATAATAATAATCATTGTTGGACTTATTTTTATTTGCCTTGCTCACTCAATGACAGCAGTTAAAAGTTGCATTTTGAGCTTTTAAAAAAAAAAAAAAAAGAGAATATGTTGCTACACAATAAGTAGATAAACGATTGTCACATATCTTTACAAGGGCCGCCTATAAATCTGGAGAGGGTTGCAATGCTGAGAGTGAAAGACCAATTTCTTAATCAATAAAATAATTATATTTTCTATGTCTAAAAACCCTTTTATTTTTAAATTGTATTTTTTATCCATAAAGAAGTCAAGTGTCCAGAGACCTTCTCTGGACAAACTGTTTAGATTTTTAATCCACAAACTGATGTTCGATAACAATACTGCAGTAAAAGACTAACAAGTTTTAGGACTTTTTATTAAACAATTTATTAGAGGACCAACATTCATTTGAAAAGAATAGCAATGGATCTTAGTGACATTTTGTGTGATAAGGAAACACGTAATTGTGTTTCCCATTTTGAAGAGGTGCCACAAGAATAAGTAGTTATAATCCAAGGCGAAGAACTGCTAACACAAACACTTCACATGCTGCTTGGGGAGTGGACCATATAGCACAAAACAGTTAGTAAACACAACTTTCCTTTTTTTCCCCTCACCATATATATTTTATGTTTATTTTTTTCAGTCACATGTTGATTTAAATTTATGCTAGAAAAAACAGTTCACCCCAGAGCATTTGGACACTAGGTGGCACTTTACCTGGTGAGATTAGTGTTCAAACACGTTTATGTAATCAGGCATGCTCATTATGACTATTGTTTTTAATCTAATTATAGGGATAAATAAAAATAAATTAAAACATACAATATAAGGTAGTCATCCAGAGTATGCAAAAATTGAGAATAGACTAACATTGCTGGTAAGTTGATAGCATTTTAAAAGTCACATTTTTTCCATAATTGGTCAAATTAAACTGGGTGTCCTGAACAGTTTCACGTTAGCAAATCGCTGTGTGTTCATTCATACGTCTGACGTCACTGCCCCTCAATGATCTAAGGCCATTTTTTCAAATAAGAAACATACTGCTCATCTGGTTCTAATCCTATGCCATGAAATCCAAAATATTAATCAGTGCTATACTATTGCTTTTAATACACATTCTTAAATATATATATAAAAAAAATTCCCTTCTCACCCCCCGCGGGTGGTTCTTATCCTCTGAGCTCGGGTCCTCTACCAGAGGCCTGGGAGCTTGAGGGTTCTGCGCAGTATCTTGGCTGTGCCAAGGACTGCATTTCTGGACTGTTCAGGTATATATATATATATATATATATATATATATATATATATATATATATATATATATATATATATATATATATATATATCTATATTTTTTTTTTTTTTTTTTTTTTTTTTTTCTTTTATTGTTTAAACATCTCATTATTGTGTGCACTTGACTGGGTTTCAGCCATTGGAGATGTTGATAATAGTGATGATACATCTTTATTTTTAAGCAACAACAAAAAAAAGTCCAACATGATGAAGGAGCATCGTCTTGAAAAGGTGGATCTTTGTCCTCAGAAACCCAGAATAAAACATTGTCACTGCAGGTTTTCTCATGCTAATAATGCCTGTAGTTTGTAAGTAATCCCCGGGATTTTCTGTCGCCCATGATTGTCTTGGCCCTCCTGGGGTCACAACAAGAGATCAGTCTGACTTGGAATAATTTACCAACATTGATGTTGATTAAACCAAGGGTAAAAATATGTGGACAATGCGCTTGTGGTGTGTTGACATGATTTATATGAATGATGCGCACAAGGTGATGTTTAATCGGATTATTGCTTCTGAGAGTGTGCGTGTGTGTGAGACAGGGTGGAATGGGGGTCGTGATGGAGGGATTATGCGGGTAAACTAAGGGGGTAGTGGAGCTGCGTGCTCTCACACTGACACAGAGACGCCAAACGTAGAGTAGCGAGCCTGCAGCGCAAACTGCAAAGAAGTTTGGCTTAAGAACTTCCCTCGCTTACTTTGGGCTTGCGACCGAATAGTTGCGACACAGACTTTTACTTTGTGCATTTTTAACTTTGAATCGCGGACCTGTTGGATCAAACTCCCTTGCAACTTCTGCCTGTGATCAAATCATCTTTCAAAAGGAACATTGCAGAGCTTTTAAGAAGTGAAGGAGTCTGCTTACAGCGGCGCGGTGGAAGGATGATCTGACCCTGCGTAAAGCCCCGGAGGATATCTCTCTTCCCTCAACCCAGGACAACACGTGAAACGGGCAACAGGAGCAGCGGCGTCCAGGAGGCTTCAGTCAACATGACCATGTCCGGTGGTTTTGTCGGATACTTGTCAGCTCATTTTACGTGACCGCATGGTGCCGGGGCTGCGGAAATAAAGGACCGCTCTCCATGCATGCTGGAGAAATAAACAGAGTTGTTGCAAACACGTTGTTGGAGCTGTCTTGGGCAAGTTTGCAGAGAGCTGTACAATGCAGGGCACTTTGGGCGCATTCATCCAGTCCTGTCTCATCCTGCTGGTACGTGCAGACCAGTGGAGGTTGAAGGATTCCTCCAGCTGCGAGCTAAATAGGAAGGTAAGAGTTTTATAACGTGAATTGGTCTGTTTTGATTAAAATGTGTAATTTAATAAATCTGAAAGCGCCACCTGAATTCCTCTTTGACTATAATTATTTATTATTTTTTTATTCCGAATGTTGTTTTCATTGTATGGACTTTTAATATCTTGTTTACTCATCACATTAGACGTGCAACAAAATTGTAATAAAGACCACTAAAGTACAAATTCGGTGGCTTGCAAAAATTTAGCACATTTTGTCACTTTTTGCACTGTTTAAGTCACATAAATCAATGCAATTTTATGGGGATTTGATGTGATTGTCCAAGCAAAATAGTTCATCCAGTGCAAAGACTATTATAAAACAAAATAAAAATCGTGTGACATACGTATGTATGTGTTTAGCACCCATTACTCTCTATAGCAGCACAGCTAAACACTGTGTGGTTAAAAAGTTGCCCTGCACATCATCCTAAGCATGCTATCTCCATAGTGAAACATGGTGTTTTTGCACATTTTCCTTGACCTTTCAGGGATTTTTATTCAGTGGCAACAAGAAGGCATAACATTCTGGGCAACAGTCAGACAATTACCCACATGTGTATTGTTTCTTTGGCACCCAGCTTCTAAGTGGCCTGTTAAAAAGTCATTATCAGTCTGTTAGCAGTCTAACAGGCAGACAAAGAGGTTCTAGGTGTCAGACAAGTTCGGTGTTGGTAGTAAAGTAATTGCAAATTCAAACCTTGCCACTCTTATAGAATTTATGCGTTCCGAACTTGCATTTGAGCACCTCATAAATTAATTGGCCAATGCGAAATGCCATCAAGTTTAATGACCAGGAGCTATTGAATCCAGTTTACATATATTTGGGGGGTTTATTTCCACACTGAATATTCTGAGTTTATTCCTGTGAATAGTTTCACCTTAATTCGGTGGAAAGGCATAGCATAAATGGTTTGTCGGATTGTGTTCAAATTGAAAACATCAACATAGCGTTATTTATTTATTTATTTTTTTCATTTTTCCCTCAGCAAGCCGACCTGAATTCCTTTCTGTGGACTATCAAACGGGATCCCCCTTCCTATTTTTATGGTACAATCCATGTTCCCTACACCCGTGTTTGGGACTTCATCCCTGAAAATTCCAAGCAAGCCTTCCAGGAAAGCAACATTATTTACTTTGAGCTGGACCTGACTGACCCGTACACCATCTCAGCCCTGACCAGCTGTCAGCTGCTCCCCCATGGGGAAAACCTGCAGGATGTCCTACCAAGAGACATCTACAAGAGACTTAAAAGACACCTTGAGTACGTAAAACTGATGATGCCCTCTTGGATGACCCCTGATCAAAGAGGGAAGGGACTCTACGCTGACTACCTCTTTAATGCCATAGCTGGGAATTGGGAACGGAAGCGTCCTGTGTGGGTGATGCTGATGGTGAACTCGTTAACTGAGGCCGACATCAAGACGCGAGGGGTGCCTGTCCTGGATCTGTACTTGGCCCAGGAGGCAGAGAGGATGAGGAAAAGAACAGGCGCAGTGGAGAAGGTGGAGGAGCAATGCCATCCGCTCAACGGTCTCAATTTCTCTCAGGTGAGTTTGATACTTTCTGAGCATCGACTTTAAAGCAACTTCTCCTGAACATGCATGTCTTTAGCAGAGTGAATATTTAGGACTGTGTTGTTCAACTTACAAAGGGTTGATCTCTTTAAGACAAGCTTGCATTTATTTTTTATATAATGCACACAGACCTTTAAGAAATATATATTTATAAAAAACCCTTAAAAGTGTAACTGAGGTGAATGTGTTTTGCTAATAAAACCACCAGGATAGAGGGAGATCTCTTTAATTAGCTTCTTGAGCAGATGAGAAAAAAGGTGAAATTGACAGGGGAGAATAAAACCACAGTCAGAATTGAAAGCTCACAACAATTAAACTGTGTAACTTTGCTTTTGCCTTCCTATTATCTGCTGAGAGTTGATCTCTCAACCTAAATCAATCTGACACATAGTAAAAAATATATTTTTTTAAATTTGCGCTTTTCATCCACATGTTCCATCTAGGTTCATTTTTAAACAGTTCACTGATAAAGAAAGCAGATAAGCTTAAGATTTTCTCCCTCAGTAACAACTTTCTCTCAAGAGCATTTTTGTTATAGCCAATAAATAAATAAATGAACAAAATATATATTTTTTTCCTTTCTCTTGAGCTTCTTATCCAAAAAGCCATCAAGACAAATAATTGACTGATTCTGTTCACCAGACGATTTGCCAGTGCATCACTATTTATTCACTCAAATGTGTTGTCAAGCATGCTGAGATATAGTATTGACAATTAAGTATAAAGCACTGAACACATCAGCTTCATTAGTTTTACCTTAATTCAGTTGATGTATTTTTTATTCGTAATTAATAAGCGTACAGTGTGTTATATTCTTATTCATAAAAACACATATGTAATTACAAATTCTTTCTCATTTCATTTGATCGTAGAGATTACATATTGTGCCTGTTCAAATGTAACTATTAAATCAATCTATTGCCCATACTGAAAAAAAACAACAAAAAAAAACAATTAAGTCTGAAAAGATCAGATAAGAGTATAGACAGACAGATCCAACAGAGGCTGTTTTTCATATTATTAAAGTGGTAGAAGGTGTGCTGTTCATAATCAATTGTACAAACATTCAGCAACTTGCTCCCTTATGTTCTTTAGTATTAAGAAAAAATTGATCCTAACAACTCCAGTCAGAACCACAGAAAAGCAGCCTTGTTCCTCAGGTGGCTACGCTTAAGTACCCCGACTACCTGTCTGTCTGTTACTCTGTGGCCTTGTGACCTCCTCAGGCTTTACAAACATATTTTAGTGGTAGCCATCACTACGAAATCATGTTCCATATTACTGAGGAGTTTCTGCTGTGATGGTCATGGGTTACGGAGTTACTGCTGGCCTTTTAGCGCAACACCTAAAAGCTTCAAATAGCATTATTTTTTAGTGGCTCTTATTGGACCCTCTACAGGTAGCTCAACAGAGCAGAGTCAATAATTAGGAAATATCTGCAGTATAATCCTTCGGAGGTAAAATCAGAAATAGAGATCTTGTTGTAATTTTGCACAGCGTTTTGAATGGATATAATTTCTTCCACAGGGAAAAAGTTTATGATCCAAATAGTCTTCGATGAAACGTTAGAAACATCCTCACTGACCTTTATCTAACAAGCTTTTTTAGATTAGTAATGTACAAAAAATTCAAATGTCATTTATTGATTTGTTTTTTTACCTATTTTCTTCAAAGGGTTTTTGTGTTTTGTTGCGTTGACACATGAGCCTGGCTATTAGAAGTATAACTTGGGTTAATAGAAGTTGCCTGCAGAAAAAACAACAAAACATACCTTGCTTCATCATTGCTTTGCTCCAATAAGGCATACAGAACTCCCCAGCCGCAACAATAAATTTCACTACCACATAACGAGTCTCTGTCCTAAAGTTGCAAAAAAACACGGCACAGCTTGAAACTTCACAATATTCACACTCAGTTTCCATCTTATTACCAGCACCTTAGCAGACACCTTCACCCTGCTGTCTCTATGTTCCAGTCAAACCTCTATCTCCCAGTTTCATATTATAGTTGAAAGGGCCAGTTCCATTGAAAGCCTTTTGGTTGAACTCAACTGTAAAACGTTGATGCAGAGAGTGATGAGTGACAGACATGCTTGGTGAAAAGGTACTGCCCCATCGTCATTCTTGACTGAAAAAAAAATGTTTTATCAGGCTGCAGAGAAAGAGAGGGAACCCCATTTGTACAGTTTCATAGCATCTGATATGTTTTTACTGGCTAAGAATGAAAATATTTGACATTCTTAAAACACATGGGTGCGTTGAGAATATATCTAGAATTAAATCATGCTTGATTACATATCTGGGTTATTATGTGCAATTAAAAAAAATTGGGGCCACTACTGAACCATAAATTGTTATTTTTTGTAAAACATCAACAAAAATCTGCATAGTTGGTTAGAAAATCACTTCATTAGCCGAGTTAGATTTCCGCACTGGAAAGTTGTGGTAATTCCTTTCCATTTTCCTTTTGGGTACTGAAATAAAGTTCTGACAAAGTTTTAGACATGCTGGCCATGTAGTTATGTTTTATTTTTGTATTTTCATGCACAGTATCCACTAAAATTGAGCTTAAGATATGGAGAGTAAAAGGCATATATCACAATTTTTGCAGTGGTCTTCAGGCTTATTTGAAAAAGCATGACAGAAAGGCAGCTGTGAACACAGCTTTTGTACTCACATTACGTCTGGGACAAGGGTTTTCAAAGTGTGGGAGAGCTCTCCTTCCCTTCAGAAAGCAAATAAACAACTGAAAATCTTAACCATAAATAATTATGGTCATACTTCCTTCTTTTTTATTTTTCTTGGCCCAGACTCTGTCTCCTTAAGTACCATACCTTTAGGTAGTTAAAATCTATCCATTTTGTTTTTGGCAATGCTGTGGTGAAGTTGGCTAAATGTTCACATTTACTTTTGGTGCTTGATTTTTTTCCCTCATGTCGCGCTCCTCCTGAAGTGCTCTGGCACCCCTTAGGGGGTTAGGGGCTAACGCCCCACACTTTGAAAAACCTTAGTTTAGGACAATTTTGCACTATCATATAAAATTGCAGATTCACTACTAAAGACAAAGTAGTGAAAGCAATGTAAGCGACTAAGGCGACTATTTCTATGGCAGTGCATTTGTTGAAGAACAGAAAGTGAGGAGAAATGTTATGAGATCAGTAGCTTGGAGAAATCAGCACCTCATTAGGGATTTAAAATTTCTCAGTTGTGAGCCCAGTGTGCCTGTATTTCATCATTGTGATTAAAGGACTTCTGTGACAAAAACTCAGCTTTCAGATTAGATGTTGCAATTTCTGCTCCTGTTCTGACCATCGTTACTCTGATATGCCTATGTGTCAGCACTCCAATTACTCTAAACAATTACACCACAAAAAAAAAAAAAAAAAAAAAAAAAAAAAAGCTATTTTATTTTCTCAAACTACAGTGTTTGTCAGAGTGTCACTTTTCTACACCAAGCCCATTCCTTGTTTAGGTAAAGCTTCACTACAGTAGTCAAATGTTATTCTGAACAGACCATCTGTCACCACACTTGCACTCTGTAATTTTTTCTACAGTTATTCTCCCAATAGTAAAACGTCATTTGCATCTAATTCTGTCCAGAGATGGATGGAAGAGAAGGAAAAATACTAAGATAGTATGCTTACATCAAATGTAAAAGAATAAAAACATATTTTTGCTTAAGTTAATTGTTGTTAGGTAAACACACATGAGGATTTTTTGGAGTGAGAGGTAATTTATTTGTTCAATCATGCAATCTCCATACATCAACATACCTTTTGCAACAGCATAAAAATAAAAACCGTGGACAAAGCAATATTTTCTGGCATGAGAAACCTTTTCCACACAAACAATACTCATAGTAGCCTCCGTTGTCCGGCTGCTAATTCCCTGCTCCAGTTATCTTCGCCTGTTGCAGAATTAACTGTCAGGGTTTTGAGTTGGTCCTCTTCTTCCTTGTTCACGAGTTTGTTGTTTTATAATCTTGAATCCTAGAAGCTATTTTTTGTGGGCTTGTGACCTCCATGAAGCTCACCAATGTTTCCTATGTAAATAATCTTAGCTTCAAAACCACCCACTACATGTTGAGTAACGATTGAGTAACGATTGGGACTTTCCTTCAATATATTCAAGTATGAAAGTGCAGGTATGGCTCTATGAGCCCGAGTCAAAATGTTCAATTTCAACAACTGAGCTTTATAAATGACTTGCATTCATTTAAATCCTATGATTTCTTTCTGCTAATTTCAAGATTTTTCAGGCAGGTGTACATGGTGCAAAACAATTCTCTTCCTTCATCAGTTGGCAACATAATATTTTTTCAGGTTTTATTAGTTTTAATGTTTATGGTTTTGAGACAGTTAAAATATTGTATATTGCATTCTATTAAAGGGACATGCAGGACTGAGTTTAGAAACTACATTTATTTTTTCTGTCATAAATACTGACTTAACTCATCACGGGTCTTAGATAAACATTTCATTGTTTTGGATCATCACTGTCCTGACTTAGAGTAAAAATGGCGCAATATATTTTGATTTAGAGGTGAATTTTTAATCATGTCTTCAACTAAATAATTTCATTGGTTTAAAAGTGAGCGGTTTTGCCTTCCAAGTGATTTGTTAATTTAAGCGTTTGCTTGTCAATACAAATTAAGCCCATTTATCTCATCATTACCAAAGCACAAAGATTTTTACTTTCTTTAGTCAGTTCTCTAATCTGGCTAAGCATGACTGCTCTTATTATTGGTTGGTGCCCTCTGTCTTTTGAAGAGTGGGCTCAGCCTCACCCATTACACTAAGTGAGCTTTTCCAGGACAACAATGGCTGCATGAAGGCCTGCTTTCTCTGTCACTGTTGTTGGAAACCCACGGGACATTCCACACCTCAGTGACGCAGACCTGCTAATAAAAGTGTTGTTTCTTTCCTCCCATCACTGGGTGTAATGGTGCATGGAAATGTGATGAATGCAAGTCTC